ACAATCTCAATCTCTTCACCATCCATCCTGATGCTGCCAATTGGTCCAGTGGTGAGAATCTTTGTCTTCTTGACATTGAGCCTCAATCCATATCGTAGGCTGCAGTCCTTGACACTCTGCAGCAGGCGCTTCAGGTCCTCCTCAGTTTCAGCAAGCAGGGTTGATCGACACTGAAAAATTTCAGGAAGTACCCTATAAGTAGGAACCAGTGATAATCAAGGAGGAAGTTGAAGCTGCATTGAAGGCATTGGGGGGGAAAATATGGCCCTAGAAATCGATGGGATACCAGTTGACTTGTTTCATTTAACAGATGCGTCCCTGGCTGCACTCACCAGTCTATGCCAGGAAATTTGGAGGACAGCTTTATCTGGACAATGGATTGTAAAAGGTCCATATTTATTTTCTATTCTCAAGAAAGGTGATTCAACTGAATGTGGAAGCTATTGGACAATATCATTAATATCACATACATGCAAAATACTACTGACAATCATTCAGAAATGGCTAGGATAGTACCTAGATAGGAAACTGCCAGAAGTTCAAGTAGGATTAGAAGAGGCCCTGGCACCAGGGATATTATTGCTGTTGTCAGATGGATCCTGGCTGAAAGTAATGAATTCCAGAAGAATGTCTCTTCATGCTTTATTGACTATGTAAAGGCGTTTGACTGTGTGGATCATAACACACGTAACAAGTTATGGCTAACATTGAGAAGAATGAGAATCCCAGAGCACTTAATTGTGCTCATGGAAAACCTATATCTAGACTAGGAGGCTGTTGTGCAAACAGAGTTAAGGGAACACTACAAGGTTTAAAATTAAAGGAGCATGTAGCAGAGCAGCTCCCTTGCTGGGATAAAAAGAAAAAACAAACAAACAAACAAAAAATTAAAGGAGCTTGTCAGAGTAGTATTCTCTCTCCACACCTGTTCCGTCTGTATGCTGAGCAAGTTATTCAAGTAGCAGGACTCAGTGAAGAAGAATGTGGCATCAAGATCAGAGAAAGACTCATCAATAACCTGTATTATGCAGATGACACAACCTTGCTAGCTGAAAGTGAGGAGGACTTGAAGCACTTACTGCAAAAAATACAGCCTTCAGTATGGATTGTATCTCAATGTCAAGAGGGGGAAAAAATCTTCTCACCCTACCAATAAGCAACATTGTGCTAGATGGAGAACAGATTGAAACTGTTAACAACTACAAATTACTTGGATCCACAGTCAACACACTTGGTGACAGCGGTCAGGAAATCAGGAGACATACTGTACTGGGAAAGTTTGCAGTTAGGGATGTTTCCAAATTGTTGAAGAGTAAATGACATTGGTTTGAGGACCAAGGTGCATCTGATTCAGGCCATGGTCTTTCTAATCACTTGCTATGTATCTGAGGGCTGGACAGTGAATAAGAGTGACAAAAGAAGAATGCCTTTGAGCTGTGTGTTGGAGAAGGGTACTGAACATCCCATGGAACGCCAGAAGAACAAATATTTCTTGGAGAAAGTGCAGAGTGCTCTTTGGAGACAAAGATGATAAAGCTTTGTCTCACATACTTCAGGTATATTCCTAGGAGTGGTTATTCCTTGAAGAGGAACATGATTCTTGGAAAGGCAGAAGGTCAGCAAAGGAGAGGAAGACTCTATCAAGTGGATTGACACAGCTGTAGTGTGTCAGTAAGGGTGAGGATGGCACAGGGTGTAACAGGGTTCAGATATTTTGTTCATAGTGTTGCTGAGTTCTTACATTGTGGGAGACATAGGGAATATGAGTTATCCAGGGGACAGGACCATAGGACACAGGACGTGTGAAATGTGCCAGGAAAGAAGGCTGCCTAAGAGGTATTAAGTATTAGCCAGCGAAAAGGCCTTAGAAAGGGGTGGTGGAGGTTAGCATGAAGACCAAGCTTACAGAGACAGCTGCACTTTGCTGGCCTATGGCTCTGTCTCTTGCTCATGAGAAACAGCCTTGGTTGAATGAGTGGCAGGCCAGAGGTCTGGTCACAAGTTTATAGATAACCACCCTCCTGGGTGGTATGAGGAATGATGGCTTCTGGGGAAGCTTTAAGGGTAGAAACAGCAGCTTCCTCAAAGGCTAAGCCCATACTGTCCTGGGTGACAGGGGACTAAGGATACATAGGTGCTGAGTGAGAAGGTAGAATGGCAGAGCATGGGTATGCTTGCTTGAGACCCAGTGCATGAGGAAGCTGGAGTAGGGCTTCTGTTGGAATAGTATATAGACATTGCTGGCAGCACATGTTGCAAGGTAGAAGCATTTAAGTGCTGTAGTACCCAGATTGTCCTTGGTAATGTGGGTAATTAAAATCAATGTCTTGTTCCATTCCTTCTCACCTCTCCTTACCATCCAGTTTATACTCCGCTTCTCGAGCGAATAACTCATCTGTTGCATTTGTTCTTCCAAATGTTTTGTGTGTGTTAAGTAAATGTAATTATTTAGTAATTGATGTATAATACTGAATATAAAAATAGTTGTTTCTCATGGAATATTTACAATGTCACTAGAATTTTGTTTAGATATGGTGTTAATGTAAATTTTAGCTGTTTTCATATGTAATTCTGATTTTTAAATGTGTTCTAACAGCTGGAAGAAGCACGCCAAATTCATTCTTATTTTGAGAAAGAATTTAATTCTAAAAATGAGGAGACTGCACAGGTCATCAGGAAGCAGAACGAGCTGCTGGAGTGCCTCAGTGAGGAGAGTGCAGCGGCGGCCAGGCTCACCCGGGAGCTCCACACTGCCCAGGGTGAGAGGAGGCGCCCCGGCACCCCACAGGGTCGTACTGAGGGGGTAGGGGTCAGGTCTGCTTCTGGAGTGCCTTCTACCAACAGCCACGGTGAATGGACACAGCAAGGGGGGACCAGTACAATTCTCTCTTAAAAATTCTTCCTCGAAATTTAATTTTGTTGTTGAAAATATACACAGCAAGGTATAAACCAATTTAACAATCTCTGTATGTACAATTTAGTGACATTGATTATATTGTTCATGTTATACAGCCATTTGCATCCTCCTTTTCTGAGCTTTTCCTTACTCATTATCATAACATCCCCTCAGAAGTTTGTCTTAATTGTTCAAGTGCTGTTACCGATTTGATTCCTTGGTAGGTAGTTCTTAAAATAATGCTCAAGGCATACCTTTTTAAAATTACTTAAGCTAAACTATATTTAAGTTGTGGGGTTTTTATTGTGCTCTTGAGTGATAATTCACAGAGCAATTAGTTTTTCATTCAATCATTCATAATTTTGTTTTAAAGGTGTTAATTATAGTCCCCACATTGTAACATCACTCTTCCTGTTTCTTCCCTATGATTCTTGTTTCTGTTCATTCTTCCATCCCTTCTTGCTTTCTTAGCTTTCTTTCTGGGCAAATACTGTCCTTTTGATCTTACATGATTGATATAAGAGGTGACCGTCTCATTCCTATTCCTCACCTTCGAGTTGCATTCTGTTGTATTTAGAATTGCATTCTGTTGTCCTCTTTAAACATTTGTTTAATCACAGTCCTTCACTAGAGTGGACAGCCAGTAATGACTCAGTTTTGTGTACCACACAGTTTTCATCAGCTCGATGTGGGGTAGGAGCCCCACATCTTTGAAGGCATTTAGTTCTTCTAGTGTGGATGTTTACACAGCAGGTATGATTTTATCAGACCTTCTGGACAAGGGCAGAATGGAGCATCAGCCTACCTGGCCAGAACAGACTCTAGGGGCCAGGACTTCACTAAAAAGCCACATTGTTTTGCTTCCGGGACCTAAACTGGACATGGGGTCTAGGACTGAACTGAGGGGAGGGTATCCAGCAGCCTGATAGACATTAGTTTAGATATGTGGGAAATGTCTGGGGACACTGTTTCTTGCAGGCCTAGGGCTGGCCATCTGCTTTATCCTGTTCTCCTCTGATAAGTGTTTGCCATGTGGCAGAGTGCCAATCATTCTCAGCCCTGGTTGCATACTGCTTGTTGGTGGATATCTGTCTCACTTGGTCTTCTCTGCAGGCCTCATTGAGGGGTTCAAAGAAGAGAGGGCAGAGCTTCAGGCAGCACTGAACCAAAAGGAGCAGTCTGAGGAGTCCCTAGTCTTGGAGTTGGAACAACTGAAACAGCGGCTCCTGGTGGCAGCCCACGAGCAAGCGCGGCTAAAAGAGGAGTGCACCACTCTGCAGAGCCAAAAGGAGGCGCTAGCAGCTGACGCCCAGGAGAGAGAATCTGGTAAGAGAGAGTGGCTGTCAAGCCCCAGCTTGACACATTGGTATGAGACTATTCCCTCTGCTTTGTAAACTCTGGATGTTGTTAGTCAGTGAACCTTTTCAAAACCCAAAGATATGTTCCAGATGGAAGTCAGTGTGTAAGTGTGTGGGTGCAAGTGCGTATGCCAGCACCTATCCGTGGTGATTTGCTGTTTACTTCAGACAGTAGATACCTTCCTGGCCCAGCATTCACCTAAGAAGCAACTGAGTAGATATGGGATTTGTAGTATCTTTGCTGCTTCTGCCCTGGAAGAGGAGCTGACCTCTACTCTGAGCATGCAGTGAGAATTAATACCTTCAGAGGAGGTTATTGCTCTTCGGTAGATATGAGGGCCCTTTAGCCAGGTCTTCTTGCACAGGTGCCTGATGTGGCTTGCACAGTGGATGTGAAAAATGGCAATAGTTACCAGTGACATTAGATTATGTATCCTGGGAGCATGACATCCTTGTGCCCTCCAGGTGACCTGAACCCTGCTCCCATGATACTCCCCTGTAAGCTGGCTGTGACAGCCCCTTGGAACACCAACTGAAGGGCTAAGTAGCTTGTCCATGTTCCCCCACTACCAGAACCTGCTACAGCAGGGTCTTTACTCCTGTCTGAGACCTGGTAACCAGGGGTCCTCTCCTCCCTATATTTTAGGGTAGCGGTACCCTTTGCTTTTTAGAGTCTTCCTCCCGCCTCACCCCCATCAGAAAGGTAATGTGCCAATGTTGTAACAAGGTTTAAAGGAGGTACAGGTCATACAAAAGCATAAACACCCAAACATTATGCTCATGAACCAGAAAAGGATCAGGGTTCTCCCTTTTATCTGTTTTTTTCCCCCTCCCTTTTATCTTTACACTGTATACATCATCATTGCATAACTGAGGCCTAGAAATGGCTGCCTTAGAGGGCTGCTAACTGTCCTGTTTCCACCTTTGTTTCATTTAACAGTGGAGGCCGCAGTCCTGGGACTGAAACCTCATAGACAAGAGGGTGGGCTGTGGGGATGTGCACTTGTGGAAATTGTCTGATGTCAGACATTCTCCAGAGTCCATGACTGATTCTGTTCCTCCTCTTATTTCTGAAATTGTTATTCTGTGCCATATATTTTTCAGTGCTTATCTCTGTAAATATTTGTATATTTGCTTCATAGGCGTTCCTGTCACTATAGCACAAAAGGATTCAGGTTTGTAGAAAAAAAAATTAGTGATTTCTCTGACATGTATGCATCATGCTTGCTTCAGAGTTTGCAGATTGTTAACTCTGAAGAGGAAAGTTCTTCAGTGTGTTTGCAGCAGACCATAATACTTTTCATAATGATGCTCTATACTAAGGAGTTAATTTCAGTGCTCCAAATTAGTGCAAGTATTTCTCTATGAGTACTTGCTGGCACTAAGCTGTCTTCTGTGTGTGCTGATTGTAGGCATCTATGTCTCTGGAGGGTCCTGAGGAGCTCTCAGTCTGGCTTCTGGACCAGAGTGTCTCCTCACGCCTGGGTGGGCAGGGCTGTGGCTCAAGCTCCCGTCAGATAGGCAAGCATCTCGGTGCCTGTGCTTGAGCATGTGCACCTGTGAATGGTGGAAGGTGACAGTCTTCCTCAAGCAAAGAGAGCTTCCCTGGGCCCGAGACCAATGCAGTACTGCTGATAAATGCGTTTGGAAAACTGTAATTCTATACCCCGAGAGATTTCAAGTAACACTGACTGGTAGCTGCATGTCTGGTACTAATTTACTATCATTAATTGCTGTGTATTGGCATGAATATATACAAAAAGTTATTGCATTAGTAGTAGTAATACTTTGTCTTGAAGGTTTATATACTTTTTTTTTTTTACTTTGAAAGTTCATATATATTGTTTTTCACACTGAATCTTTCCCATTTCTTTTTCCCCACACACCCCGTCATCTATCAGATTGAATGACCCTAAGATTAACATGCTCACACAACACAACCCCTCCCTGTGCCCATCCTTCTTTACTTGGATTCTCTTATGCTCTCTACAATAATGGGACTGAGTTAATTTACTTAAGTATAATTCTTTCCAGTCCCTTTCAAGTTAGGTAGTGATTAACAAAATCATTGCTCCTTGGTGCTGCATAGTATCCCATCATGTAGTTGTACTATAATTTCTCAGTCCATTCAATTGTGGTTGAAAATTTGGGCTATATCCGTATTTTTTATTATTATTAATTTAGTTTGTTTATTTTTCATTTCAATGAACATCTACAGAGATTTTGGAATTCCATTCATTCATTGTTGC